TTAATTCTTAAAACAACCTTGCCCTTGGCCGGGTGTGGTGGCTCACGCCTGTAATCCCAGCACTTTGGGAGGCCGAGGTGGGTGGGTTGCCTGAGGTCAGGAGATCAAGACCATCCTGGCCAACATGGTGAAACCCCGTCTCTACTAAAAATACAAAAAATTAACTGGGTGTGGTGGTGCATGCCTGTAGTCCCAGCTACTCAGGAGGCTGAGGCAGGAGAATCGAACCCGGGAGGCGGAGGTTGCGGTGAGCCGAGATTGCACCATTATGCTCCAGCCTAGCAACAGAACGAGACTCCATCTCAAAAAAACCAAAACAACCTTGCCCTTTGCTGTCCAGCAATTCAGCAGACTCTTGGTCCCTGCATGCCATGTGGACTTCATACCGCTCTTCCTTTGCAGAACGGAGCAGAAGGTGGGAGCATAGTCCTGGCACTGGACTGTCTGGCTTTGAAACCCAGTTCTGGCACTTAGTAGCTGCAAGACCTTGGACAGATTATTTAACTTTTTTTCTGTTTGAGTTTCTTCATCCAGCAGATGGGGGTAGTGTACTTACTAGAGATAGAGTAAGGATGAAGTGAATGGGACAAGTGCTTAGAATAGGGACTGCACATCATAAATAATATATGTTTTTAAACTTGCTGCTGCTACTATTACTGTTACCACCCTACTGTTCCCTGTCCCTGGAGTCTGCCCTCCCCAGAGACACGCCAAGTCCTTCAGGAAGCCTCTGGAGCCCATTGCTGCCCTGCCAGGTGAGTAAGCTTTCTTGGAGCCCATGGTTCATGCCTTTAGCATAGTGCTGTTACCTGGAAGGTGTTTGCGCATTTGTCTTTCTTAACTAGATTTTAATCTTAAGGGCAGGACCATGTATCCGTTGCTGTCATTTATCTCTTCAGCTCATGTCACACTGCTGCTAAGTAGCAGATTGAGAGGTTCAACCTTGGGGCTCAGTCCAAAGCCCAGACAACGTCTGTCTCTTTCTTTGATAAGTAAACACAGAGGGCTTGACAGAATGTTAGTTTTATCAACCAAAATGAAGAGCTATCACCTCCTGCCACAGCTCACCAGATGTTGGCCCAGCTGCCTTGTAGGTGAACCTTTTGGAAGCAGATCTTGGTTGGGGGGTGGTGGATTCTAAAGGACTCACCCACATTGTCTAGCTAGTGAGTTTTGTGTTTAGGACCCAGCAGCAGTCAGTAGTCCCAGGTGTCCGAAGGGAAATTGTTTGGTGGTGTAATCAGCGCTTACTGCATCCTTTGTGCACTTGAGCCTTTGGGGATCAAACCCTGCCTCGCCTCCACTGTTGAAGGTGAGGAAGCATTTGTATTGTTCCTGAGCTTGGAGCACTAATCAAGGAGGTCACCTGGGGGCAGTGTAGTCACACCCGTCTCCCCAGTAACACTGATGCTGTGATGGAGCTCCTCACAGTGAGTACCACAGAATGACCCTGCCAGACAGGTGGTGGTGTCCCCGTTCTACAGGTGAGAAGACAAGCTCAGAGAAGTGCCTTGTTTAGGCCACCCAGTAAATAATGCAGCTAGGGTTTTTAAGCCATGTGACTTTAGAGACCAAGCTGATGAAGACAGGTACGGGCAGCTGATGACCCACTGCACACCTTTCCAGGAGGTAGTGTCTGTCATGGTTAAATGCAGGCTCTGGAGCCAGCAGCCCAGGTTTGAATCCCAGCTGTGCACATTTCTGTGATGTGCATCTTTATGTCTCAGGCTCTTCATCTGAAAAATAAGTTCTTCATAGGGCTCTTGAGAATTAAGAGCCCTACGAAGGGCTCATTCATTTTGGCTGATACAACTAACATTCTGTGAAGCCCTGTATTTACTTACCCAAGAAAGAGACGGACTTCATAGGGCTCTTGAGAATTAAGTGAACTGATTCATGTAGAGATGAGGCACTCAGTAAATGTTGACTACTGTACATTTTCCCTGCTCTGCCTGCACTGCCATTACCCTAGAGATTTAACTGTATTGACACACATAGCCAAGGTCATGGTGGTCCTTGACACTTGACACCTATCGTATAAAGGCATGGTCTGACTGCCTTCTCTGCTGCATTAATAAACTAAGGCTCTGTTGACACAAAGTGGCTGGAACATAATCCAGGCACGGAGACAGGAGTCAACAGAGCAATACAGACATGACGCTAGAGTTCTGATAGAGGTGCCAGCACAGAGGACAGGATGTGCAACAGTTTAGGACGTCAGGTGGACCTGGGGGAGGTGACACAGCCACATTTTGAAGTGGAAGTTCCCTAGGTGGATACAGGACAGAGAAACAGAGTAGGGGTGTCTGGTGTGAGCAAAGGCTCTGGCAACCCCACCCCCACGCCTAGGCAGGGTTTGATCCTCAGAGGGTCAAGTGCACAAAGGATGCAGTAAGCACTGATTACACCACCAAACAATTTCCCTTCGGACACCTGGGACTACTGACTGCTGCCTCGGTGAGAAAGCAGGTTTGAGGGAACAGGCAGCTGGGGAAGGAGCAGCAGCACCGTGGTTTGGAGACAGGCCCAGCAGATGGTAGTAAGGCAGGCCAGGAGGTTAAAAGTTTTCTGAAATATTCACCCCAAAGTGTCTAAAAGTGTACCTGTACAGTTTAAAGAATAGTAAACATCTTTGTATCCACCCGCCAGCTGAAGAAAACATAAGGGGCCATCGGTGTGTCCCTCAATGAATGCATCCCTCCCTGCCCCTGCAGAGAAAACCACTACCCTGAAATTGGTGCTGATCATTCCTTTGTTTTTCTGTACAATTTGACTACTACATTGAGGTTTTGGGAACTGATTTTTGAACTTTATATAAATGAAGTCATTCAATCTAGTTTATTTGATTTCATCTTCTCAGCATCGTCCTTGAGAATTACCTGTATTTACACATGTAGCCCTAGTTCATTCACTACTGGGAAAACGAAGGAAAATGGCCAAGCAGAACCACCCCAGGGTACTGTGACAGCATTTACTGAAGGTAGGAGCAGCTGCAGACACGCCGGTCCTGCGTGGCGTAGTCATTCTAGGACCGCACGCCGGGAGAGGGATCCTGGCCACTGGGCTATGGGGCTGTTAAGCTGCATGATCAGGAAGCTCAGCTCCTCCTCCTGCTGTGACCAGGGCTCTAGGGTCTGAGTTTTGCTGTTGCAGTTATTTGATGTGGTCAGCCAGCAGCAGGATTTACTGCAGTGTGTTCGTGGCTGGAGAAGCATCAGCCCTTCCTCTGACATGATTAAAGGGCTGGGGTCCAAACCTTGTAACTGATCAGTGTCTTAGGCACTTGGCAATGGCTAGATTCCATGGAGCCTTGTAAGGGGCCAACTCCTTTCCCGGGAGGCCAGCCTGCAAGGGACAAACAGGTTAACTCTTACCTCTCATTCATTGTAGAATATGATTATAGGAATATTCCAGAATGTATTTATATGTTCTAGTGTTCATAATGGACATATGGGTTGTTTCTAGTTTTTTATTTTTCTTCTGCTATTACAGTGTTTCTGTGAACATTCTGGTGCAAGGGTTTTTCTAGGTTAGGAGAGGACTTATATATTAGGGAATGACAATTTTTCAACATAGGTATACCAGTTTATATTCTAATTAACATTGGTAGAATGTTCTGTCTTCATACCCTCACCAATGCTTAGTATTTTCTGGCTTTTTAATTTTTGCCACTCTGGTGGGTATATAATATTATCTTGAAGTTTAATTTTTCACATTAATGATTACTGGTGGTTTTTTTTGTTTGTTTGTTTTGTTTTGTTTTGTTTTGTTTTTTGTGAGACAGAGTCTCGCTCTGTCGCCCAGGCTGGAGTGCAGTGGCCAGATCTCAGCTCACTGCAAGCTCAGCCTCCTGGGTTTACGCCATTCTCCTGCCTCAGTCTCCCGAGTAGCTGGGACTACAGGCACCCGCCACCTCACCCAGCTAGTTTTTTTGTATTTTTAGTAGAGACGGGGTTTCACCATGTTAACCAGGATGGTCTCGATCTCCTGACCTCGTGATCCGCCCGTCTCAGACTCCGAAAGTGCTGGGATTACAGGCTTGAGCTACCGCGCCCGGCCAGTGATTACTGTTGAAGTTGAACATCTTTTCAGCCACTTACAGACCATTTGAGTTTTTCCTCTTGTGAAATGCCTGTTAGTGTCCTTTGCCTAATTTTCTATTTGTGTTATCTTTTTCTTGATTCGTAGCAGTTTTAAACGTGTTTTTTTGGATAGTAATCCTTTGTCAAGAATGTATTGCAACTGTCTTCTCACTTTGTGTGCTGACTTTTCACTATTTATTGTGTCTTGTGACTTCTTCTTGTGAGGTGTTCATGTTATTTGTAACTTGATCTGTCAGAATTCTCTGAGGCTTTGACTGAAATCACCTTTCAGACAGGACCTGCATTTGCTTCTTCCTGAAGCCTGGGAATCACTTTCTTTATCGCCCCACCTGGGATCACTTTAAATTAAATTCAGCCCTTGAGGTTTGTTCCTAGATTGAACCTGAGGGGTTCTCCTTTCTCTTCTCTCCTTCAGTCTGAGGATTTGACTGCACACACCAGAGAAGAGGGTATTACACTTTTCATTCTCAGGGTGATTTTTTTTTTTTCAATACATCCAGCCCCAAGATAAAAATAGGCAGGATTCCTTGCTGCCCACTCATGTCAGAGGCTTGTTTCTCCTTCACTTACACTGAGGACAGGGCCCTGCGGAGCTCCAGCTTTGGAGGAGGCCTTGCATCTGAAGTTGTTGCCTTTGCAGTCTCCAGGCTTGATCTGCAGTCCTCTTTATTCATCAAAGCAGAAGGCCAAGGTCTCCAGGGTCCTGCAGTACTTCCCAGAATAGAAGCTGATTTTACTTCCCAGAGTTTTTGCTTTTTATTTTTGGCCTATCTGCATGCCTCATTCCCCGTGTTAATTCAGCAGTAGTCTAAGGATATTTTAAAATATTTATCATCTGGTATTTTAGTTGTTTACTTCAGGTTGATCCGAGTATCTAGTGTTCCTACTGCTGGAACAGAAGTGGCACTTTTCCATGAAATGCTCTCGCATAAGTGTCCAGACAGCGAGCTGAATTCAGCTGAACTAACAGGCAGTGAAGTCTTCTGTTCCCTTTGTTAAAAACAAAGCAGCATGAAGTTAATTTCCTCTCAATGTGTAATGTAAATCTATGGGAGCTGGTGGGGGCGTGGGGAATGGAAAGGCAGGGGATACCCTTAGGTCTTATATACATACAGCCACAGCCTCTGTCCCCGTCCCCACCTCCCCAAAAGGGCAGGAAGAGACAAAACCTGACGGGCCCTGAGCAGCTCTGCTTCCTGCCACAGGTCGGAGACAGTGGTTATTGTTCCCAGCGGGTCTGCTGAATTGTTCTCAAGGCCCAGCAGGGGCCTGCTCACATCAGAAGGCGGTAAGAAGGGAGGAAGAGAGAAACTGGGCAACATTTAGACTAGATTTTGGTACCTAGGAAAGCCAAAGTTTAGATTGTTTTCCCCGAGAGAAAGCTAGTGCTGCAATGAACTTCATCGTTCATATAGTTTGTACCTTTGTTTCAGTAAACAGACTCCTTTGACATGGAATTGTTGACAAAATCTATGAACAATTTATCAGTTGCCAAAATCATGTACCTATATACACTTGGAAGTAGGAGATAAACAATTGCATTGTTACTGGAGTATCACAATAAAGCAAATGGATACTTCAGTGATTATACAGGATAGGGGAAAGTCTTTGCCATACTCAAAACTACAAATATGAGAGGGAAAAATTCATTGTTACATAATCCTTTCTAAGATAACCTGGCAGAGAAAAGCCAATGGCCAATTAGATGGAAAATTTATAAAATGAGGATGCCGGCCCCTTGATTTGGGAAAGTTCTTTACAGTTGAGGCGAGAAATAGTGGAGAGTAGATAAAAGACATGAAGGGTAACTTATGTGACACGAGTGGCTAGAAAGATGCTTGACTTCTAATCAAAGAGAGCCCCTTCAAAACAACCAATGCCATTTGCCTTATGATGCTCAGATAGGCAAAGGTTTAGAGTGTTACTGGCCTGTGGTGGCAAGCCTGCACACTGGGGTTGGGCGGGGAGACAGACAGTCCCGAGCCCCATGGTCATAAGAGGTGTGGTCTTGACCCAGCAGTTCTAAGACTGTCTTTCAAGAAAATAGTATACAAAGAACTATATGCTTAAGTAATTGTGTTCAACACTTGTCGTCCTTAACCCACTTGGTCTCTATCAACAGATCAAATGCCATAGCTCAACCACAGTTTAGAAAATACATCCATTTGAAATGATAGGAAATGATACAAGACGTCTACCCTTGTGTTAAACAAAGCAAATTCAGTTACACAGCGTTATGCCAATTGGTACCTCTGGAAGTTTGAAATCCTCACATGAGCTTGTATGATGGAGGGAAGGGAAGAAGGAAGAGGTAATGCTGGAAGGAACCAGAACCCAGGCCCCTAAGACCAAGTCAGCCTGGCTCCTCCAACCAGCCAAGCTAAGAATCCTCACCTATGCCATACTGACCCTGCAGGATATATCCTATGTCCCCCTGTACATGCCAGGAAGCTGGGCAGGGCAAGACTGGCCATTGCTAGCCATAGATGGGAAGACAGGCCCAGAGAAGGGAAGTCACTTAGCTTCCATGGCAAATGTTTGGGCCTTCCTGCCTCTCATGTTCTCCCTCTAGCTAGAAGAGTCAAAAGACAGCAGTTTCCCCAGCCCCTCTTCGTACTGGCCTGTAAACTTGTACATTCAAAACCAAACCAGAACATTGACAACAAAAACTAGGTAAGCATTAGGCTTGGGGCAAGAGGAAATGAAATTCTAGTCAGTAGTTAATAGCACCCAGTTACTGTTGGCTGTTAGGTACTATTCTAAGCATTCTTATTTATTAACTCATTTTATCCAATACTTCTATTGGAATAGACATTAACCTTATTTTACAGATGAGAAATCTGAGGCCCAGGGAAGTTGAGTAACTTACTGATTATCACACAGCTAGTAAGAAGCCAGCTCTGGGGTCCACATGCTTGACCAGTATTCTGAAGACAGGAAAGGCTGAGTAGGCCAGAGCCGATAGAGGGTTCATGTAGTATCAAGACCACAGGCATGACTTGAGCACGTTAGCTCCCCTTGTAACAGCTCTCTAAGCTCGTGCTCTACCTGGTCCAGAGAGGTGTCTGAATCCAAATTCAGCCTTCCCTACCAGATTCTTCTCCCTGTCCCCTTGAGGCCAAACCCTAGCGTCCTGCCCCCTTCTCTACCTAGAGGATCCACATGTCTGGAAAAGGCTTTGCTGCCAAGTCAGAGATGAAGGCCCATGCCGTGTATGGGCAGACTGGGCTCAGCGGCATAGCCAGCACTGGTACGGACCTGTCTGGTGGCCATGCCCACCGTGGCAGGCAGTGTCAGGGCCAGCAGGCTGCCATTCCTCCTGTGCCAGCCCTTCCCACATGGACTAGTCTTGGGAGGCCAGGGGAGGGGATGGGAGGCTGTGGTCAGAAATGCAGCTTTTACAGTAGGCTGGCAGGCTCAGGGGGTCTGTGAAGTGCCCCTTCAACTCAGCCTTAGAGTTCCCCTTCTCCACGACAGCAGCTGCTCTGGGTGCTTTGAGGATGCCCTGGCCAGAACCCCTGTGTCTGTGAGGAGGTGACAAGCCTTTACAAGCCATTTGCCCAGCTGTTGCTGTTCTTTGCCAACATCTTAACCTCCAGTATCTTTTTCCTGTTTGCTCTGCCTGAAATGCCACCATTCCTTGTGAAGAGGGAGAGGCTCCCGAGTTAAGCCTTGGGGGACGTTGGCCTCTGTGCAGGGTGTGGCACATATGAAGTATTTGTAATCGACATCACAGTTCTGGAAGGATGGAGCTGACTTGGAGGACGTTTCTCACATAAGAAAGAGTTCTGTTCTAGTGGTCACAAAAAACTTCTCCACACCTGGTTTCAGTAGGTTTGAAATGATTGTTTATTGAGCCCATTCACTGTTTTCCCAGAGCTTCTGGACCCAGGTCTGGCTCAGGCCCACAAAGACACCAAACCCAAGGACCAGGGCAACAGCTGGCAGCAAAAGGACCATCCAAAGGAGAGGCCTCAGGCTGGAGTTCCCATTGGAGTCTGTCAGAGAGAAGGGATTGGCAGGACTGGCTGAGGCCCCTCCAACCCTCCCCTCCAGCCCAGAACTTTGTATCACACTGGGCAGAGCTGAAGCTGCCTTTCTGCAGATGAGGTGGACTATGTCTGTCTTCACTTAGTTCCCCACTGACTGCAGTGACACCATCTCTTGCCCTCAGCTATGGCCGGAGCATCCCCGTTTTGTCAGCACAGTCTTGAGGGCTGGGAGTGGGTAAGGCCTGAGGGGCCCATCCAGAAGCCCTCATACCTGTGGGCCCAAGTGTGGGCTCCTGCCCATAAGAATCCTCAAAGCCCACTGGCCCCGGAGAGCTCACGATGTCCTGGGGCCTGGCAGTGTCATTACGGTGACCTGAGGATCGTCGCTGTCCTGCCCAAGGGAAGAATGAAATCTTGGGCTGGTCTCCTGCCCCTGTGGCCCAAAAGCCAGGCACAGGCCTGAAGGTGTATGAAGGAACAAATGCCACTCGCACCCCAGACTCACTTGCAGTCCCAGCGCTGCACACAGTGGAGCAAGTCTCCAGCCCTGAGCTGTGGCAGGCAGAGGCACTGCAGAACAAGTAAACCTGGTGGGAAGAGAACATCAAAGTGGCTGGCTCGGTGCCACCGGGCAGGAAGCAGAGACAGGGACATGGGATCCCCAAGCTGGGCCAAGTCTAGGCTGCTGCTGTTCAGGCAGGGAGAAATCTGAACTTTTTTTTTTTTTTTTGAGACAGAGTCTCGCTCTGTTGCCCAGGCTGGAGTGTAGTGGCCCGATCTCAGCTCGCTGCAAGCTCCGTCTCCCGGGTTCACACCATTCTCCTGCCTCAGCCTCCCAAGTAGCTGGGACTACAGGTGCCTGCCACCACACCTGGCTAATTTTTTGTATTTTTAGTAGAGATGGGGTTTCACCGTGTTAGCCAGGATGGTCTCGATCTCCTGACCTCGTGATCCTCCCGCCTCGGCCTCCCAAAGTGCTGGGATTACAGGTGTGAGCCACCGCGCCTGGCCGAAATCTGAACTTCTTGACCAAGAAGACGACTGCTGCCCATGCTGAGGGAGTGCAGAGCTGAATGTGTTCCTTCCTGATTTGAAATCCACACCTTCCCCCATCCCCAAGGTCCAAGTCTGTAGTGGAGTGCCCTGCAGGCAGGGACCACCGCACTTCAAAGAGCCCCAGTCCTTGGCAGGCCTGCTCTACCAATGCTGCCTCTGGCTGCACAGCCCCCAGGAGGGCTGGATCTCTCCCTTCCACCTGCCTTACTGAGGGAGACAGCAAATTCCAAGGAGGTGGGGCTTGGCCAGGCAGCAGGAGAATGGATATTTGCCCTCCGTTTGTGACCCCCAAGACCAGTGACCAGGGGAAGAAGGGAGGGCAGATTACCACTGCTTCCAGATACACAAGGGCAGGGGCAGTGCCCTATGGGAGCAGAAGCAGGAGGAGCTGAGCTGACCCAGCAGGCCTCACCCACGGGCACCCCTCATCCAGGTAGGTCAGCGTCTCTTGGATCAGGAGGCAGCACACAGCAGAGATGAGAACGAAGCCACCCTAACCAGTGCTTACCAGTGAAATCAGTCTACATCTGACAATAACAGGCAGTGATTTAAAAATCTAGAGATTTGGGTATGTGATGTGAAAGATACGTTATTCAACAGGACAAGAGTTACAGTGCGTCTGTCACCTCTGGGGCCATCTGTATATTACACAGAAAACCTAAATATACCCTAAGTTTATCTACGTTTACCTTCTGGAGAAGTTGCTAAGTTAAAGAAAATTCAAAGCAGAATTACATGGAACACATTATCATTTCTGGAATCAGAAGTGAGGCGAGGCTACCCTAGAACATCATGACCAGAGTTCAGATTTAGGGCTGATTGCAGCACAGGCAGCGCTTTCCTTCCTCCTGGTGGTGGTTATGGGTTACCTCTTGCTGACCCAAAGCCCGCTGCCTTCCACGACACCTGGTAGAAGCCAAGCCCCATCCCAGAACTTTGTCCACATAAGTTCACAGCGTGCCAGAGGGATTTGGCAACCAGCTCCTCCCCAATTAACACGTGGGCCAGGCCTGCAGCAGCCGGGGCTTCTTACCGGTCCTCTGAGGGCTCTCTGGGAGCCCGAGTCCAGGAGGGCGAAGGTGGCAACAGTGAATCTCTGGTAGTGAGACTGGAAAGGTGTGGCCCCATCCAAGGCTACCATTTGGGTTCTGTAGCTGTCGCCCTCGAAAGGGCATCTGAGAAGAGAAGTCAGAGGCTGTTTACAGGAGGCAGAGCAGGTGGGGGGAGCACGAGGACACTTACCCATCTGACAGAATGGGCCACTGGGGCTGCTGGAAGGGGTTGGCACTGGGAGCGCCCCAGCACTGGTGCAGCAGCAGGACCAGGTTGGGGTCTGTCCTCCGCAGAAGCCGGACCTCCACATGGACTGGGTCTCGGAGCAGCCTCACGATGGGATAGTCGTCCTCCCCGTAGTAGGAGCTGAAGGTCTCGTCTGCAGGGAGGGTGACTCATGAGCCAGGGTGGACTGTGCGTCGGGGGAGTGGGGGCCACAAGAGAGCAGGGATAGCATAGCATACCCTTGGCGATCCGCAGTTCAAGTCTCAGGGGGCCGGGCTGGGTCACAGAGGCAGGCGACGGGGGTGGGAAAATGGACGCCCGAATGGGCAGGAAGTCACTGGCATTGAAGACGCAGCGCACATGAAGCCTGAGGTCCATGTGCAACAGGGTGGGGGAGAAGACAGAATCAGGGCATCCTGTTTACGTGATAAACTAGGCACCAGCTCCGTGGGTGCAACAAACAGGGTACTGTCCAGCAGGGCAGATGGAGGCTACTTAAGCAACACTTTTCCAAGGCCGGCTCAGGAAGCTCACCCAGCCCCATCCTCTGTCCATCTGGTCTCCCTGGGATGGCTCAAGCCTGTTATGCCAGGCCCTGAACCTGGTGGGAGAATACATCAGGATAGAGATGGGCCCTTGGGAGGCTGGCACCTTGTTGGGTCTGGCCTGGATACCCACAACTGCCTGCTGTGCCATTCGAGGCCCCTGGAGCCTGACCGTTGAGGCTGGCAGACAAGCCTAGGCGCTCTGCTTCCCAACAGACCTGGGTTTGAGTCTTCTTAGCATTGGGACCACAAGCAAGTCTTTTAACCTAAGCCTCAGTGTCCTCATTTGTAAAATGGCTGTGACTGCCTCCCTTTGAGGGCGCTGAGGCTGACTGAGATCACAAGATGATGCACCTGTGTCTTCATTGTCCTTGTAGTTGCAGCTGGTCTGCCACAGCCTAAGGGCCACAGTGTCTAGCATCTTCCTCACTAGCCTAAGGGCCATGTGGCCGTTCCTCCACACTCTGGCGGGGCCCACATCCTCCTAGCACCCCAGAGGCCTGGCACCAAGGAGATGCTAAGTAGGTAGAAGTGGCTCACCCCTGTTCAGAAGGACTTGTGTCTGAGCCCTCTGGCCTAGTCCTGCTGGCTGCAGCTGTTCCCCTGACTTCTGCCTCCCTTCAGGAATCCCCAGTCACTCTGTGTTGACCTCTGGCTGACTCTCATAGCTCTTACATCAGAGAGTCTAAGGCATGACACAGACTTGTCCCCCACCATTTGGCCATAAGAACTTCAGGGTTTTTTAAATTAAAATAAAACAAAACTAATAGAAATGGGGTCTCACTGTGTTGCCCAGGCTAGTCTTGAACTTCTGGCAGTTCTTCCATCTAGGCCTCCCAAAGCACTGGGATCATAGGCGTGAGCTACCGCCTCTGTGGTACTTAGAGCTTTAAAGCCAAATTCGTTTGAACTGTGACACAGTCCCCTGCTCCCCAACCCTCACGGCAGGGCGGGAACGGGCATCCACGCAGTGTCAAGCACAGGATTTCTACAACCCACTGGCTAGTGCACTGGCTCTGTCCCACAGGCTGAATGGGCTGAGGTGAGGTGCTTTGCCCTTGGTCACACAGGTTCAGAGCCAGGTGTCACAGGCAGATTCCCTCGGTTCACCCCCACTGGCATCCTGGGCACCTGGGTTGGTTTTGCCTCTTGAGTCAGCAGGTCCAGGAGGCCCCTAACAATGAGGGGTTCCTCCCCCACCCAGTTCCTCTCCCACCACATCCTCAGAGAGGTATCTTCAACTTCATCTGTGGCTTCTTAACCTGACATGAGGAGGGGCAACAGCCGTAGCCTCAGCCTCCTCCTGGGACCTGGAAGGGGATGCTTTCAGTTGCTCTGAGCTTGGTTCTGAGAGAGACCAAGACAGGGCTCTGTCAGGACTCCAGCCCTCTCAGGACTGGCCATGGGCTTCTAGCCAAACCCTGCAGGCCGGGCACAGAAGGCCCCCACTTAACACTCATGTCTGCCCTGACAGAGGGATATTTCCCCTGCCTATCAGGGGAGGCTGGGAAGAGGTGGGCCCCTTGCCTAAGATCACATAGCCAGGTAACAGCGGAGCCGGGGTTTAAGCCCAGATGGCTCGAAGCGTGTCCTGAGCTCTCCTGTGCCCCCTGACACCCTAGCACAGAGCCACGCTTGTAGGAGGAGGGCTGCTCTCACTGGAAGGTGCTGTCCCGTGTGATGGAACCCTGTGGCCCCTTTCGGACGTGGATGCCAGACACCAGCCAGTTCTCATAGATGAGCTGGTCGCCAGCCACCTGTGGGAAGAGATAGCTGGGTGAGGCTTTCTTGCGGGGACCAGGCCCCAGCCTGTGGTCCCGGCTCCTACCTGCACTGTGGTTCCACAGTGGGTGAGAGGGAAGTAGAAGACCACGAAAGCTTCCGTGTGCTGCGTTGGGGAGCAGCTGGTGGGGGCGTAGGCCAGGTGGACGTTGGCCAGTGTGATCCTGTGTGTCAGGGCCACTTCTTGGGACACCACAAGGATGAAGTAGCCATCTCTGAAGCACTGGAGAGTAGCTGGGACAAAGGTAGATGAGGGCCTTGGGGTTTGGTGTCCATCCAGCACAGACAGGGGATGTCTGGGTGACAGCCAGGCTTTAAGTGCGGGCCCGGAAGTCTGGACGCTTACTCTCTACTTATGCTGGTGTTGACCCCAGCAAACCCTTTATGAACTGATTTTTCTCATCCATGAGACAAATGAGTTGAACTACACTCTAAAAGTAGGCTCACCATATAATCTGTTATCCAAACCAGGGTGCTTTAGATCTGAAAGTACAGATGTGTGTAAAGGTAGATCTATTAATACTTCTGGGATAGTTGTTATAAGGCCAGCTGGGACCTGTGACCGCCCCATCTAAAGGTCTCCTCTGCCATCTGCTGTGGGAGTTGGGCTCTCCAGGAGGAGGATGGGAAGCAGTTTCCACCAGCTGGAGGAGACAGCTCTCCTTCTGCTTCAGAATCCAGGGGACCAGGATCGTGCTGGGGTAGGAGGTTGTACCTGTGTTGCCATAGTAACAGGGAACCTCTCTGGTGTTATCATAGCAGCAGCCAGCCTGCTGACAGGCTTCCTTTGAAGTTCTTCTCACGATGCAGGGGAGGTGCCCCGAGGCCACCTGGCACTGCTCCTGGCTCGGATGGGTACCTAGGGTTGGGACAGAGCAATGAGGCTGAAGGCACACAGTTTGCAAATCGTGGCCCTGGAATTGAACCTTGGGCACCTGCTCCAGAGCTTATGCTCTTAGCCAGCACACTAAATGTCCTCCCTCAAAACTGCATATTACTGACATTTCTAGAGAACGTTTTCTGAGAACCACGTGTTGCTGGCAATGGTTTCAGTGAGTTTCTACCTAAAGTTAGGAAACAATTTTACAAGACTTCTTCCAGCTTTAGTATACCTGTACATGTTTAAAGCTGTTTTCCAAATACTAGAAAGGAATAAAAGAATCATCTTTTTCTTAAAAAAGAAAAAAACAAAAAAAGAAATGGCTTCTTAGAGCCCAGTAAAAGGCTGTTAGGCCACCCTGTACCCCAGAAGGCCCCAGGCAGAAGGTAAGGACACTCAGATGTCCTGCGTACCTATGTAATCTGGTTTGTTCACATCCCAGTGTTCCAAGGGACCCCAGTGGGGTTGAGCCAGGGTGGCGAGGGCAGGTCCAGGTCCAGGGGATGGTAAAGCAGGGGTTGGGTGGACAGAGCTGTGCCCTGGGTCCAGTGGGCTGGGAAAGGCATGGCCAGAGCCTGGTGAGGTGTGGCCAGAGGTGGGGAGGGAGGGAAGCGTTTGTGGAGTCGAGACAGAGAACATGGTGGGTGGTGCCAGCTGGGAGTCCGGAGTCCAGGAGTGGTCAGGTTTGGGACAGATCAGGGTAGTGTCTTGTGCCACATTCACACGACCATCGGGCAGCACAGCCTCCATGAACACTCTGAGGTGGAAACGCCCATCCTGCAGGTGAGAGGCCAGCAGGGAGCAGCAAGGTGAGGCCACCCAGGCAGGGGACGGGCCCACCAGAGCTGAGCTGGCCGTTAGGCAGGGAGCTGGATTCATGGTGGATCCCAGAAAGTACCTTCCAGGACTTAGTTTCCCCCACCCACCAGCTCAACAGATCTTGGGCTCTGGTTCCATGAGGGGCCTCTTCAGCCTGAAGTGACACTAGGACAAGCTTGCTCCTGCACCAGAGCACGGACCCCTACCTTCTCCAGCACGTGGCAGCCTCTGTAATCAGCCGAGAAGACTGCAGGCTCCTGCGGCCTGGAGGTGACCCAGTGGTAGCAGATGGAGCAGTTGTTGACATCAAATCGGTTCCCAAATTCATCTGCAGTGGGGGAAGGGGAGGGGCCAGGGATGTTGAAGGGTGCAGGGAGAGGCTGCTGGGGTCTCGGAAGGAGCTCCCACTCAGCAGCCAGATGACCTGAGTACTCGCCTTAGCTTTACTGTTGGTTTGTTGTGTGGTTTCAGGCAAGCCCCCTCCCCTCTCTGCTCTCAGCTTCCACAGCTGTAAGGGGATGGGGGCGTCTTAGGATCTTTCTAGCTAGGGTTCCCTGCTCATAGCACACGGCAGCAGGCAGGCACGAAGGTGAGGTGGAGAAGGGATACGCAGGGTCTTAGGCACCAGGCTATTTCATATGACTTCTTTTAAGCTTAGTTATCCGCATCCTGTGGCTGAGGCAGCTGAGGAAGGGAGGGTGCATGAGCTTTCTCAGGTGCACACAATGAGGGGCAGAATGAGGATTTGAATCCTGGGCTTTGTAGAAAGATCTGAACCCATTTCCCAGGTTAACTGTGGCTGCTGCAGTCGCTCGGAGACACTCCCTAGGTGTCCACCCTGCTTGTTGGTCCAGAACAGCCTGGGCACTTTCTGGGTGTGGGCATGTCCCCATGTGCTTGTTCCATGAGTACGGCCAGGTTCATCTTCCCCACTTTGCAGATGAGGAAACAGAGGCTTATGGGTCAGGTCAGTTGTCCAAGATCACACTGTTTAGAAGCTGCAGATCTAAACCCCAATTCCAAACCCACACCAGGCCACGCTCACTAGGTCCTGCTGCTGAAAGTGGTTTTTGGACCCTCAGCCTCAGTATTGACCAAGTGTGGTTAGAGATGCAGAGCGTAGGCTGGGTGCAGTGGCTCACGTCTATAACCCCAGCAGTTTGGGAGGCTGAGGCAGGTGGATCACCTGAGGTCAGGAGTTCGAGACTAGCCTGACCAATATCGTGAAACACCATCTCTACTGAAAATACAAAAATTAGCTGGGCATGGTGGCTCACACCTGTGGTCCCAGCTACTAAAAGGCTGAGGCAGGAGAATTGCTTAAACCCGGGTGGTGGAGATTGCAGTGAGTTGAGATCGTGCCACTGCACTCTAGCCTGGGGGACAGAGTGAAAGTAGTGAGAATCTATCTCCAAAAAAAAAAAAAGAGAGAGAGAAAAGAAATGCAGAGGCTTGGCCCTGCCCCAGGCGCACTGAATCAGAACCCGCACCTTGACAAGGTGGCCAGGTGTTTCCCACGCACACTAATGTGGGAGAAGCTGCCCTGGGTGATGATTCTCCTCCTTGCCCTTTTCTGTGGTGAGGAGGTGGGGGGCTGGACACCCCCAGGCTGGAGGGAGTCCTCTGTTCTTGCTCCTCCTCCAGGGGAAGGGCCCCAGCTCCCTTCTGACAGCAGCCCGTGGCCAGGGCGGCGGGGGCCAGGACTCTGCCAGCACTCACCCACCACCTTGAAGCGGAGAGTCTGGCCTGGCCTGGGGAACACCAGCAGCTGCATTCCCTTGATCCCACAGTCGTAGCTGTGCCGGAGGCCTGGGAGGCCAGGGTCAGGCTGGAGCCGCCTACCCAGCCCCAGGGTGGCGACCAGCAGCAGTAGGGCCACACGGTAACCCCAGGTAGTGGCTGAGCCTCCTGCCATGAGACGCCACAGACACACCCCTTACTCCCTCACCACCAGAGCGGGGCCCAGGCCTTTTATGGAGGAGGTGGCAAGGGGAGCCTCTAAGGGCAAAGGGGGCCCACCTGGAGGAGCACCCACCTGGCCACCAGGGACTGTGGTGAAACTCCTGCCCCAAAGGCTGGGGGAGGCAGAAAGCTGCACGTGGCCCCTGACCCTGGCTTTCTGTCCCACAGCTGTGGCTTTGGAAGGGAGGAGGGAGCTTCCCAGGAAACTGAGGCTGCAGATGGGCTGTGGGAAGGGATCCAGGGCTGGGAGGTGGCCCTGCAGACCTCAGGCCCTCCGCTGTCTCCCTCCCACCCCAGCCTTTCCACATTCCCTCCCTGCCCCAACAGGCTCTCCAGGGCCTCCTTCCTGCCTTGAGGCCTCAGGACCACTGGGAGCTGCAGGCCTGGTTAGTGCAGTCACAGCTCCTCAGGCAGGGCTTTACGGGCCGGTAGAGCAAGACCAGGAAGACACGGCCCTCAGAGCTGGCAGCGGAATGCGGGCTGCAGGTGAGTAAACAGACCAGTAGCACCTCCAAGGGCTCTCCTGAGGATCCAGCCGGTCAGTATGACGATGACTATGACTAATAAAAAAATAACAAGGACAACTAAACGTAATGTGTCATCTGGATGGGATCATGGAGCAGAAAAAGGAAGTAAAAGCGAAGAAAGTGGATTTTAGTTAATAATAATGTGCCCACATTGGTTTGTTCATTAATTGCAATAAATGGATCATACTCATGTAAGATCATTCATGAGGTAAACCGGGCCTGCGGTGTATGGGAACTCTCTGTACTGTCTTGTCAGTTCTGTATATCTAGAACAGTTCTATGACATAAAAGTGGCTGGAAACAACAAGAATGGCCTGCGGTCTGCCATGATTACAGTGCCAGGTCTTGCTTGTGTTCGCTCCTTATACCACCTGACCATCCTCTGAGGGAGGGACTGTCACCAGCCCCACGTCCGGGCACTGATTCCTGCAAGTGATTAGCCTAGGGTCTAGCAGCGTTTGAGCTCAGCAAACATTAGGAAACTGAGCTCAGCAAACATTAGAAAACGCGGCTATTATAATTAGCAGCTGCTGGAAGGGGAGAGCCTTGATAGCTAAGAGGCCGGTGCTGGTGAGGTTGCAGAGAGAAAGAAATGCTTATACGCTCTTGGTGGGAGTGTAAATTGGTTCAACCATTGTGGGAGGCAGTGTGGTGATTCCTCAAAGAGCTGAAAACAGAACTACCATTTGACGCAGCAATCGCATTACTGGATATATATCCAAAGGAATATAAATTGTTCTATCATAAAGACACTGAACATGTGTGCATATGTTCAGCGCAGCACGATTCACAATAGCCAAGACATGGAATCAAATGCCCATCAATGGTAGACTCAATAAAGAAAATGGGGTACATGCCAGATGCGGTGGCTCACGCCTGTAATCCCAGCACTTTGTGAGGCTGAGGCGGGCGGATCACGAGGTCAGGAGATCGAGATCATCCTGGCTAACACGGTGAAACCCCATATCTACTAAAAATACAAAAATTTGCCGGGTGTGGTGGCGCTCACCTGTAGTCCCAGTTACTCGGAGGCTGAGGCAGGAGAATCGCTTGAACTCAGGAGGCAGAGGTTGCAGTGAGCCAAGATTGTGCCATTGCACTCCAGCCTGGGTAACAGAGCAAGACTCTGTCTCAAAAAAGAAAAAAAAAGAAGAAGAAAATGTGGTACACATACACCATGGAATACTATGCAGCCATAAAAAAGAATGAGATCATGTCCCTTCCAAGAACATGGATGGAGCTGGAGGCCATTATCCTTAGCAAACAAATGCAGGTACAGAAACAAATACCACATGTTCCCACTTACACATGTACTCACATATAACTGAAGGCTAAATGATGAGAACACATGGACACGTAGAGGGGAATGGTGCACACTGGGGCCTTTTGAAGGGTGGAGGGTAAGAGGAGGGAGAAGGGCGGAAATAATAACTATTGGGTGCTAGGCTTAGTATCTGCATGATGAAATAATCTGTACAACAATCCCTCTTGACATGCGTTTACCTGTATAACAAACCTGCATAAGTAACCCTGAACCTAAAATAAAAGTTTAAACAAAAAAAGTCGGTTCTAATGGTGCCCCAACCACTTTCTTAGCTGTGACTCAGACGCGTTATCTATTCTGAGCCTCAGGTTTCCTGTTTGTAAACGGGGGTGATAATGCTTTCCTTGCCTGCATGGTGGACAGGAAGACACACAGAGACAAGTCATGGGCACCAGATGTAGTAATGATTTAATGCTTGGCAATAATTCACTTCTAATGTGATTAGAGCTCAGCTGGGAAAGCTTGGTGGGGCGGGTTGGGGGTCTCCCTGGGAGCACAGTGGGAAGAGACACTCAACACAGCATCGAGGGTGGGCGACATGGAAGCGCTTTTGGAGGAAAGGGGTCCTAAGCAGAGGTGGGAGGAGGCGAGGAGGACAGGGATGGTGCGATGGGGATCTGGGGAGAGCAGGGCTGGAGGAGGGAGGAAGCAGGTCACATAAAGGTCTGGGACAGGGACTCCAGGCAGGCTGGGGGTGCTGTCGAGGGAAGGACTAGGAGGGGAGGGAGAGGAGCCAGGCAGGAGCGGGGAGAGGGATGGATTTTTCCTGAGGGACAATGTGGAAGTTTTAAACTTTTAATTTTGAAATTATTTCAGATTTGCAGAATTTCCATATAGCCTCCTCCAGATTCCTCAAATGTTCACTGTTCACTTTTTACATTTGCCGTAGCTCCCGCTTTCTCTCTGTGCGTGTGTGCAGACACACACACACACGCAAATACACGCACTTTCTTCCATACCATTCAAGAGTCGGTTGCAGAAATGACAGATTCCCCTTTACCTCTAATTACTTCAGTATACATTTCCTAAAAAAACCAAATCACCCCCATAGTCAAATGATCAAAATCAGGAAACCAACATTGGTATAAACACAACGATCTAATCTGCAGACATTATTGTAAGAATTAAAGAGGAAAGAAACATGAAAGGGCGATTCCACAGGCAACAGGGACAGGTTTATTTTGAATAAACCTGAGAGCGGCAGCTGGCCGAGGTAGGTCAGAGCCCCACTCTGTTACAGACTAAGAGTTTTTAAGGATTTAGGGTGGGAGAGTTTATCAGAGGCTGGGACTGCTTCTGTGTCTCTTTGCTGTGCGTATCTGGGAGGGAGAGTCGTGTGTCTGTTCCCATACATCTTTCTGCAGCTGCAGGCATATCCCCCGAGTCTGCTTCTTGCTTCCCTATCTTAGTGCACCTGAAGGGAAAGGAAGGTGCTTACTAAGGCCCACTGTTTGACTGGGGCTCACTGTGTGAGGATGAAGTTTGGCAGTTATCAAAGAGATTTTCCCTCCACCCCTCTCTGTGCCGGAGCTGTCTTATCTGTATTTTACTGTCTGCTCTTTCTGGCTGTTGTAGTTAGAAGAGAAGTGATTGCCTTGAAATGTATGAGGCTAGAAAGGGAGCAGGAGCTTGAAGTGGCAGTATTTGTCCGAGATGACGGTGCTCCTGCTCTAGCAGTTATTCAACATCTGCCGACTGTCCTAACCGTGACTTTCATGGCAAAGGAGTGCAATGGTTTTGCAAGTCTGCAGGATCCAATCCAGGCTCAGAGTCTTGCTGGCGTGCCTCTCGGCCTGCTCCCACCTGGGACCGCCCTTCTATCTTCTCTTGTCTTTCATACCCTTGACATTTTTGAGTACAGCCCGATAACTTTGCAGAATGGCCCTCGGTTTGGGTTCGTCTGGTGTTTTCTCCTGATTACATTAGATTTAGTTGATGCATCTTGGCCTTGTATTAGTCAGTTTGGCTGCTCTAACAAAATACAGACTGAGTGGCTTAAATAACAGTCAGTTTCTCAAAGCTCTGGAGCCTGGATATTCTAGGTCAAAGTGGCGGCAGGTCTGGTTGCTCCTGAGGCCTCTCTCCTTGGCCTGCAGACGACTGTCTTCTCACTGAGTCCTCACGTGGTCTTTCCCCTGTGCTGCTGCATCCTTGGTGTCTCTTTGAATGGTCAAATTTCCTCTTCTTCTGCCTGGCCCGGTGGCTCATACCTGTTATCCTAGCACTTTGGGAGACTGAGGCAGGCAGATTACCTGAGGTCAGGAGTTTGAGACGAGTCTGGCCAACATAGTGAAACCCCATCTCAACTAAAATACAAAATAATTAGCCTGGTGTGGTGGCGCACACCTGTAATCCCAGCTCCTCAGGAGGCTGAGGTGGGAGAATCGCTGGAATCTGGGAGGTGAAGGTTGCAGTGCTAGATGGTACCACTGCCCTCCAGCCTGGAAGACAGAGTGAAACTCCATCCCAAAAAACAAAAACCAACTTCCTCTTCTTCTAAGAACACCAGTCAGATTGGATTAGGGCCACCTTAAGGGCCTCAATCTTCAATCACGTCTTTAAAATCTCTATCTCCAAATATAGTCACATTCTGGGGAATGGGGGTGGGGGATTAGGGATTTAGCATATAAATTTTGGGGGGATACAATTCAGCTCGAACAAGCAGGAGAACCCCAGAAGTGATGTCATTTCCTTCTCAGTGCATCCTATGCAGAGGCACACCCCACTGGCTTGTCCTGTTACTGCTGATGTCACTTTGATAACTTGGATAAGGTGGTGTCTGCCAGGTTTGTCTACCATAAAGTAATGATGTTTCTCTTTGTAATTCATGAGTATCTTACAGGGAGATACTTTGAGACTATGTAATTAATCCTGTTCCTCTTCAAATGTTCACCGGCTAGTGTTGTGGTTGTCAAGTGGGTGGTGGTTCTCTAACTCCACCCTTCCTTCTGCATTTATTTGCTTTCTATCATAAGAGAGAACTTTTTCTAACGGGGGCTTTTAGGGGCCAGAGAGAGCATCAGCTGGAGTCTTTGAGAGGCCTAGATTTTGCCTGGTGCTCAGTGTTTATGAGCACAAGGGCCCTGGGACGTCACTTACCGGCTTTTTTCCTCTATC